CGGCTAATGAGGTTAAGAGGCACTGCCGTTCCTATTCTAGGTTTGCTTGAGTGCAACCTGTTATTAAACAGTTTTAAAAAAAGTAACTGGATTAGGAACGTATAATGTGGCGTCATTTGGAACAGACGTGTGCGGCAGCGGCGCACGTCTGATGTGCAAATAGCCTATGCCAAAACATTAATTTTGTGTGCTTCTAACCGATCGGAGTGGTTGCATGGAGTAATGGAGGAAGGGAGGTACATGGTGAATATCACCAATTGAATGGCTCCCCGGAAAAACGTTCCAAGCGCCAGAATTAGAGTTTGCAGGTTTTTGATAGAAAAACGTTCCTTGTGCTTTTGTCTATCAAGTGGTGACATCTTTTGGCCGATTTTATAACTAAAACATTGAATTATGGGTAGGGGAATTTGGCACTCCCTGGAAGAACGTTCCTTGTGCAGCGTATTGGGCAGACAAGACCATGTCTTCACCAGTGTCAAGCCTTATTAAACAATTAAATAGAGGCAAAAAACTAAAGTTAGACATAGATTTTTGGAAGAAGAAAGTTGAAAAGAGTCATAGAAATAGCAAAAAAGAGAAAAAAAAACTACAAAAATGAAGTAGTGCCTGAAAAAGTACCTATTTCTGAAGTAATTGGAAAACGTTACTTGTGCTACAATGTACACTACAGTTGAACACTATAATGTTTGTGATCCAGAATATTTACCAGGACACAGGAATTTAATTTCCATTTATAAATACTTATCTATATATATAATTCCGTAAGTCAAATTTTTGTAAAGAAATTGTGAGTGACTGGATGGCCGTAGAAGGATGGGAGGGGTCTTATTTTAAAGGTCTTGACGTGAATTTTGAGGGAAAACTATTAATTTTTCTTATTTTTTTACCATAAATTCGCAACAGAATTAAACTTTTCCCATTAAAACAACATGGGGTTTAATTTGTTTACATCTTTTGAAATTAAAACAGCTGTGCCACAGATTTGAAAACAGTCATCAATACACGCATTTGGTTTACTTTTAGCCAGTCAACTATGAAATGTATACTATAATAAAACTGAAATATTGAAGATTAGTCGAAAAAACGTCTGCATTCTTTGTTTATTTAAATCATATACTCAAGTTTCATTTTTTCATGCTTTTACGTTATTGTCGTGTTAAAGGAATAAACGACATAGAATAAATATTCTGTATAAATAATCAAAGAGTCGAAATTAAATCTAACTTCTGTTTTGTTTTTATTTTTAAATCATATGTTCAAGTTTATTTTAAATGATGTTGTTTTCTTTATATTTCTACACATTTTAAGGTTAAGGTTGTGTAAATATATACAACTAAAATAACCTATAAATGTTATTGGTTCTAAAATGGTGTATTTGCATTCCTTCGTAAGTAAATTTTTTTAGTGCAGTGAATATACAACGTAGAGTAATCATATTCGATCACACTTTTATAAAATCACCAGGGATTCAAGATGTTTTGGTATGTAGGCTGCTGGATATATATTATTTTCATTATAAGTACTGTAATTAATATGAACGCCAGGGGAATACCACAAAGGCGGGGAACTGTTCATAGGAATGACAGTGCGCGTAGGAGAGCAAGAGTAGATAATGACGAACTTAATCAAGATATGTTACAACCCCTTTTTAGGAGACCCATGGTAGACGAGAGAAATGTAAAGATCCATGATGCAGGATTATTGGACCAAGAGTGCATTCAATGTAGTGCTCTTCATTTTAGAGAAGAACTAACGAATAATCATTTTATGACATGTTGCCATAACGGACTTATTAACCTTCCTCAGTCAAAAACTAATGTAGAACTTAAAATTTTGTTTGAAGAGAGCCCACAACTGTATAAATTCATTCGACAATGCAACAGTGCGATGGCTTTTGCTTATTTTTCAGCCAGGAAGAAAGATATTCCAGGAAAAGGACCATACTGTTTCAAAATTCAAGGACAGATTTATCGTTCAATCTCAGATTTGCTGCCTCAACATGATGAAGACCCCGTGTATGGCCAATCGTACATTATTGACACATCAACAGCAACAGAAATTCGTCAAAGGCGTCGAGAAAATAGTGACTTAAAACCTGAAATATTGTCAAAACTAGCTGAAATTCTATTAGAAAATCCATTTGCACAAATTTACAAAAGAGCTTCGGAAGAAATGGTTGTACAAGGTGACAGTGAATTAGAACTTAGGTTTGTAGACAGGATAAATATGGATCGTCGTAGGTATAATAAGCCTACTGCAGATGAAATTGCAGGCGTATTCAATTCATCTGAAGGCGAACCTCCAATGAATTTTTAAAATTCCAAACAGGGAAGCTTTTATTTATCCTCATTAACCACAAGACCAAAGCTACCTTAGTAAACCAGTATTTATTCACAAACAATGATATGTTTGCTGCCTTTTTATGTTAAACCACTGGAGTGATTCAAATTATTTATTGAAAATGACATCAACAAAAGCAAACAAAGAAGAACAACAAACTGGTTTTTACACAAAAGATATGGTGTAGGGATGCCTATTCTGACACATAGATAATGTTATTCTGAGTTTGTTTAAATACCGGTATTGCAAAAAGTTGTTTTACATTTGAGCTTTTTAGGGACTTATGTCCCTACAAGCCACTAGTTATTAGTAAATTAGAACCTAGCTGTTGTCAATTTACTGTTTAATGTCTTATATGTTATTTTTGTTAAGTGAATGGGCTGATTTATTTAAGGATTTCTCATGTTCCTGCATACACAACGGCTGCAAGACTATACCATTTGTGACTGACTATACTGTTGACTATACTGTACCAAGATAATACGTTTTTTTACAAGATTTGGTGTGTTCTTTTAGTTAAATGAAGTGCAATATTGTAAGTCCCAAGCACACAAACAATATCACCTTAATACAAAGGCTAGGGGTTATGTACGTTTTATTAACAAGATATTGTGTATTCTTTTAGTAAAATAAGATTCAATATTGTAAAAAAAATCTTTCACTTGCAGTTTGAGAATTTCTGTACCTAAGCAATAAAAATAATGAATTATTGCAGCTATTAAAACTTTATTCTTTACAAAACGTTCCAAACGCCAGTATTGTAGAACGCTATGTTTTAGTAGAAAAACGTTGCTTGTGCATATCAACTACGCCCAAGCAACGTTTTTCCACTTAAAATGTCAAAAGCTTAATAATTTTAAAAAAAATCCTTATAACATTGTTTTGACTAGACCTATCAAGTAGAATCTAAAAAAATCCAAAAATAATCTTTAAAAAATTACTATCTTAAAGTTTTTTTTAGTTTTTGTAAAGTTTACAAAACGGCGCATGGAACGTTTTTCCAGGGAGCCATTCATTTGTTTACAGTTCTTAAGAAGCATTAATCGTGATTTATGCAATACCTGTCTACCTCGACCTTTGAATGCATTCTTTCAAAAAGAGAAGGTTCCAAAACGCTCTGGGTATGTTCCGTTTAGGGTAAATGAAAAATGAAATGAAAAATCATTTATTTACACAGGCAAACTACACAGGGTAGAATGGACATTGGCCATACAGAGCAGCCTACTGGCGAAAGTGGAACAAAAAAATGTCCACAAAATCGTTGCCCGCTCCGCTCCCAAACGCTAGAAAAACAAACAAGATTGTTCCAAAGCTAACCGCTACGCTCGCAACAGCGGTTTGTGAGCACGTTACTACTTGATTGTATGGTTTGATTTTGTCGCTCTAAATCGCGCCGCTCCCAGTCGCTCTAAATTGCGCCGCTCCCAGTCGCTGTATGTGTGTTTCTACCCTAAGAATTTGTTTAAATAAGAATTTTTCTTATACAAATAACTAATGATGGATGGTGATTTAATGCATTGTATAACAAAAACCTATTTACACTTTTGAAAAGAATCAAATAAAAATATGTTATTAACTGGTTTTTTGTGTTATTTAAAAAGAATTTGGCCTACATGTGTAAAAGATAAGGGTGCTTTTGAACCTTGATGTATGCAAGACTCTTACAAGTGAAGAAATATAATATTTTATTCATTACATTTCAATTTTAATTTTTTTCAATAATAGTGACCATTGTTGCATATGACAAATTATTTTCAGATTCTAAACTGTGCTCTTATTAGCGACTATGAATTGAGGCTCTAAACTCTAGGTTGGAAGAAGACTGATAATGTCAATAGTACGATGTTTACAATTACCTTCCCACTCTCACATGACTCTAGTTTACATTTCCATTATCAACTTGATTACACAATCTCATCCAACAAAAACATTGTTTTACATTTGTTAAAACCTAACCACACCTTACTTGTGACTCACAATTTTGTGGTTTTCAACTTTTACTGACCCTCATGGCAGCCCAGTACTGGGTTAGTGCCATCATTGTTTGAGAACATTGAACTCAATGAGTTTCACTCATATTGTGACCAATTTAGATGCCTAGAGATTTCTCAAACAAGTTTTTGCAATGTGTGTTAAATATTGATTAGGCTACAGGGACAATGTAGTTATATACGTACCTGAATATGAACAAAAGATAAGTTTAAAACAAAGTGAGATGCCCCTTTTTGATACAGACTTAGACCAATAATTTCTTTAAACCATTGAGTAAAATCTGATGATCAAAGATAGTTAATTTAATATTGTTCTTAACTGCTAATTATTAATTTTTAGGAGTTTTACTTAGGGAAAGTAAATTAAAATATGTCTCAAAGTATATTTCCACTTATACTGTTTACATGCAGTACGGTAAATATACAAGATGGTATTGTGATCTATTTTGATTGGACACTTCAGTCATTATTAAACTTGTTGCTAATGTTGTGTAAATATTTGTTTCAATGCCATATTGCAGCATATGTCATAGCTGGTTACTAATGGTGTGTTGTTAATTCTTTGGACTACGATTTTGAAAGGACATGTAAAGTTTTTCTATTGAAATATTGTCAATCCATAGATATTTGGCTTGGCTTAATTTGGTAATTGTTTTCGTTTTGTTTCAGGGTCTTTTGGACAGGTACCTAATTCCAAAGGCAAGCAATGCCGAAAGTAAAGTGTTCTACCTGAAAATGAAGGGAGACTACTACAGGTACCTGGCAGAGGTTGCAACAGGGGACACAAGGAATGGTGAGTAAAGAGTTGGGAGAGTAAACCAAAGATCCCATTAAGGGAAATTATCTCAAAAACATATGGGAAAGTAATCACTTGTAAAAACTGATTATTCCACATGTATTCACCGTGAAATTATGACTCAAATGACTAAGAAATTAAATTGACAACTAGGCTTTGGTTTTGGTTTTATTGGAGCACATTTGCATTTTACACATCTGAAACATTGGACAGTGTAATTTGACCACGGAAGTTTTATCATCCAAGATGTACTTCACTTAACAACTTAGCTAATTTCTAATATCTTAGCTAATATCTCTCTCCACAAGCCCAAATTTATTTCCAAATAAAATGTAGGGATACTTCAGTGTGACTGTTAAACTATCCCCATTTTGAAAACTACAAATTGCAGAAACCCAATGACAAATAATGTGTGTATATTGATGTTTTCAAAAAGTCCATACCTACTAACTTTTCTAAATTAACAGGGTCTACAGCCAGATCGGAAACTGGGAAAACGCAAAACAGGGAATCGTACATGCATTTTGATAGCTGAGAAAAGTATGCGAATATTTGCCGTTTGTCTCTTCTTTTTTTGCCATCGTGTATAGCAGAGTTGTAATGTTTGTGAAAGTCACTGCAATTAATTGTAACAGACTTTGCTGTGATTCTAATAAATCATGGATATTGCCGATTCGCACATGAAGTGGATGTTGCCGTGATTGCAGAAAATCATTACAGTTATTGCTATGGTCGCTGGAGATCATGACTGTTGGACATAGTCAGTTGTAAGTTTAGAACTGATTCAAAATTAAATTAACAGTCAGTCAATTTTTAAATATAAAAATTTGATTCTCACTGTTATTAATTTTATTTTGAAACAGTTCTATATTGAAATTTATAACATTTGGACTTGGATTGGAGATTTGAGACCTAAGGTTTAGAATTTGGATTCAAGATCTAAAATTCCTGGATTTTCCATTTCTAATATCTGTGGTTACTACAACCGAAATTAAAAACCCAAGATTGGATTAGTCAATGTATAAAGAATGCATTACTGAACCATAAAAATGTGTTCCATGTTATTTTCTTATTGCTGTATTATTGTAGGTTTAATTAATTTACAGTTTTAATCACACATGAAAGTGACCAAATTAATGACTAATGTCCATAAAAGAGGACATTCTTCTATTACATGGATTTTCACAGTGGGTTGTTCCCTAGGTTAAAAAATGATGTATTTTCTGTCAACAGCCGTGGTAGACGACTCACAGAAAGCCTACCAAGATGCGTTTGAAATCAGCAAAGCCAAAATGCAACCAACACATCCAATCAGGCTGGGCCTTGCGCTCAACTTCTCAGTTTTCTACTATGAAATCCTCAATTCACCTGACAAAGCGTGTCAGTTAGCAAAACAGGTCTGTTACTTTCCAGGTTGATGTTATACCAAGGCTGGTTGGTGCGTGGTTACTACAAAATAGATGTCACAGGATTAGCATGAAAGTAAATATTTACCCTAAATTTTGCATCTAGTAGAGTTTTTATTAATTCTTATTTTGTAGCCTTGTTAATTTACAGAGAATAATATTTACTTTCATGCTGACCAGTGTTTTAACTGTTCTTAAACTATATTTAAAAGCCTAAAACACATTTTGTATTCAGCTGTGGTGGACGATTCACAAAAAGCATACCAAGAGGCTTTTGACATTGCCAAGTCAAAAATGCAACCCACACATCCGATCCGGTTGGGCTTAGCTCTCAACTTCTCGGTCTTCTATTACGAGATTATAAATTCCCCAGCGAGAGCTTGCCATTTGGCAAAGCAGGTAAAACGGTTTTTAACTATAAAGCTCTAACCTACGTGTGTCGATTGTCTAAAAGGTTTGATTAGCATGTTTGCTTGGAGTTTTAATGCTAATAACTCATTAGAGAAATCCTTGGATTTTGTGTGAGCTCTCTACATGCTATGATTAATCTTTTTCTTATGGGTTGATGAGTTTGATCAAGTTAATTTATTGTGAGCTTAACAAAACTACACATACAACTATTATACTAAAGTGGATTCCCTCATATAAAGAACATTGACTCTAAAAACTGATGGTTAAACTATTATTTTTTGGTAGAAAACTTTATAACACACAATACCTATCAATTATAACGGAAGTGTACTATTGTCGAGACTAGGACCAGGTAAAAATGGGCTGGGTCGGCTGATAATATGGCGTCGGGCATATGTCCCCCCTCCAAGTTCCCTCATTATACAATCGGTTTACCTACTTGTGTAGGCTCTTGGTTTAAGATAAGTTTAACAGCAGTATTGATAAAATGCATTAAACAGTCCACTTCATTAAGGATCAATACCAATCCTCTAATTTTTAATTTTTTTTTTTACATTCATTGTATGTAAACACCACCAACCAGGCTTAAATAAATAAATGCATGTGTTTTGTGAAATTGGCTTGTAATTAATTGTTGTTTTGTATGCTTATCACAATTAATTATTCAGATGATCAGTTATTTTCTGAGAGTAATGTACTAACATTTATTGTTCAACTCTGGCCACATAAAGATGTAGAGGTAGAATCAATCTGTTTAGCCAGTCAAAAGGATTTTGAACCCAGTGGCATTTGCTCCCAGTAGGGTCAGTCCCGGAATTCCTGCTGTGGCTGTTCCGATGTGACTCAACCATTGTTGTACTTAGTTGCAACAGAACTGTTTATTGTGAACATTAATTTTACCATCTTCTTCTGCAAATAAAGACGCACATTTTCAGTTCTAACTTCACCTAACCGCAAGTTAAACAGTATAGGCCTATCTATGTTAAAGTAGTATATAAACTACTAGCTGGCCCGACAGACGTCGTCCTGTCCTAATGTGGTTTTATGTCAAATGCTCATTCATTTTCAAGATGAGCTCGTTCGAATGGCTCAATCACGTTCTGGTTGAAGTTCGTTCGCTACGCTCACTCACCTGTCACCTTTAGGTTGGAGCTCGTTTGCTGCGCTCACTTGCCTTCAGGTTAGCTCGTTCGCTACGCTAACTCACCTCCAGGTTGAAGTTTGTTCGCTACGCTCAATCACCTTTTGTTTGCACATTAGCTGTTGTCATAAATTAAAAAAATAATAATAGTGCTGCACCCTGTTGGTAAACCTATTAAATTTTTAATGCTATTGAACATCACAGAATCAAATTGTTTAGTTGAACCAGCTGTTAAGATTCTTTAATTCCATTTAAATATGAGTACTCATAAGGTTAACACAGCTGTTTCAATTAAACAAGTTGGTTCTGTTCTATGATGTGCAATAGCATTAAAGTTACAAGGATTACCAACAGGGTGCAGCACTATTATTTTTTTTTTATTTATGACAACAGCTAATTTGCAACCAAAAGGTGAGTGAGCGTAGCGAACGAACTTCAACCTGGAGGCGAGTTAGCGTAGCGAACGAGCTAACCTGAAGGCAAGTGAGCGCAGCGAACGAGCTCCAACCTAAAGGTGAGTGAGTGTAGCGAACAAACTTCAACCAGGACATGATTGAGCCATGCGAATGAGCTCACTTATGAAGTAAATCGGGGCAAAGCCCGTGGGTACAGCTAGTGTATAGATAAACAGACTACTAATTTTTTTAAGATTGAGGGCGTAAGATATGGTAGCTTATTTATATTGTCAATAATCAATCCTGGAGGCAATGATGAATAAATTGTGCTCTACAGTATATACAAACTAATATATTAAAAAGTTGTGATAAAGTGCATATTCAAATTTAAATTGTGTCAAAAGAAATAGTCAATGTGCAATATGAGTATTGATTATAACAATTTGTACTGTGTTTTATCAATCAAACTGCACTGATTCCTAACACAAAGGATATTTTTTTGAACAGTCGTTGTTTAATCATCCTTATTGAAATATGTTATATGGGAGATTTATGACCGTTTATGACTGCTGTCCTCCAGTAGACTGGAAGGGAGAACTTGTGTCTGCTGTTCTGCTGGAATATGGTGGACTCATGGGCAAGGTTATGTCAAAGGTGAATGACTGTTGTATCACACTCTCAAAGCCAATGCTTACTCTTCTTCTTCATTTGAAACTCCAACTGTCTACTGATGAGCAAGTTGTTCCCAAACTTTGAAGGCAATGTTTGTTGTTTCAGGCATTCGACGATGCGATTGCCGAACTGGACACACTAAACGAGGACAGCTACAAGGACTCTACCCTGATCATGCAGCTGCTGAGAGACAACCTAACGTTATGGACATCAGACACGCAAGGCGATGGGGACGAACCCCAAGAGGGCGGAGACAACTAATACCCTTCCCTCCACTCCCTCTCCCACACTTGCATACGCCGTTCTACACACTTGAATGTTAGCAAATATCCAAAGCTATGCCGATCATTTTGTTTATTTATTTCGATGTATGTTTTCGAAAGTTCTTCTTTATTGTATAAAATTTTGATACTCCGTTTGTTGTCAGACATGTTGTTGTTATTTCTGTACGATGTTACTTTTAATTTTACTCGTAAATTTTATTGTCGGGCTTTACATTAAAATTTAGAAATGCACGGCTTGTTTGTTCTACTGATGTAGGATGCAATAAATTTACAATAAAATAATTTTGAAAGTGTCGAGTGTTGTGATGTACGACGACGGACGGCGTGGCATAGCTTTGTTAATACTTGCTTTCAGGAACATGGAGCCTCCCCTCGCAGCTTACACTTCACGAACCGATCACTTTGCGCGCGACACTTCATCTCCATCTCTCGGTCTAAGTGGATGTGTTGTGAAAGAACTTTCGATCAGGGTGTTAATCGGCTCTTTGTAATTTTCTGTGAATCGTACTGTGTCCGTTTTTCTAGACCGTAAGAGTATCGGTTAGTGTACACGGTCGAATAATTGTCAAAACACAGTATCTCCGATACCCAGTTGTTTAAATGTTTCTTCTGAAAATATTAATTTGTAAACTTTTTAACACTCAAAAGAAAAATCAAATTTGTTCATCATGAAATATACTATGGGAGATTAGATGAAAACTTTTATTATTATACAATAAACTATGTTATTTGTATGGAATCTTTTGTAATTTGTTACATCACTCTTGGCTAAATTCACTTGGCTTGGCAGTGGTCCCTCTCCTCGACTGTCGACTGCATGATCTGAGACCAATTGTACCTGTATCCGTTTGTATTCGGTAAAAGAAGTGTTGAGCCCATCTGAACATCTCAAATGTTGTATAGACGTGACGCAAAATGTGAATGGTTTTTGCTGTTGTGCTCTACATATTCCTGAACTTTCCAAGACAAATTCCTTCCTTACGTCGAATCAAATTGACATGCTGCCATATGTTTTAGTGCTCAAAAAATCTCTAAATCCGAAAGGAAGGGTCAGATCTTTGAAAGTTCTCTCTACTCGTGTAATCACTCATTTCCTTCATATTAAACCTATTTTTATTTATAAATACCGTTATATCTTTTATTCTGTCCTTAGATTTTTCATGCCGTTAACGTTATACAAGAATTTGACGTAAATATACATAGCTATTTTCACACATAAGCGTTTTGTAATTTTAATGTGTCCGTTGTAAACACTCATTATAAGTTTGCGAGTAATATTTGATTTTATTGATCGGTAGCTAAATTAGCTTTTGTAAGTTTTTCAAAGGGTAATTGTAACATTGATCTTGTTCTCTAAATGCATGTGAATAAGCCATGCTTTCACTAATGTGTGAAATTTTGTTTACATAAATTAAACAAACCTGACAACCTGGCGTCATATTTTTAAGTTGTGAGTGATTCAAATTCTAATTGGACATCCAAATAGTCGCGACAGGAACTGTGTTGTTTCATGCCTTAGCATTTCATTTAGTTTGGACTGCATTTGAAGCCTAGAATGCATGCGGATGTCCAATAATCACCCAAAGATTCGTTTTATGACTCCAGTTGAAAAATGTACTAAAACATTTAAGTTGAAATCTAATTATAATTTTTGTTACTACTTATTTCAACATGTCTATAGTTGTCATATTTTATTTTTGTTCAACATTAGAATTTAATATATTAAAATTTTCAAGATTTTGTCTTGTTTACTCAATTAGGATGATGCCCCAATCTCTGAGGTAGTTAATCGAATTATTACAAAATTATGGCCATACAAGTGGAGTCTGAGGCAGCAATTGACAGGGATTAATTTATCTTAAAAATAATATAAAAATATGAAATATTAGACAGATAGAAAAAAGATTAATAGGTTGTCATTTAGTTTTAATTGAACGAAAGATAATGTTAGAAGAATGGGTTTATCATTATTTTTTATCACTGATTGATGCTCACAGGAAGTTCAATGACAAGAGCTTAAATGCCAGAAGTGCTTCCATCTAATTATTTATTTACCTTTTAAAACTACTATTAATCTTACCAGGAAATAAAAATAAAGAAATATAAATATAATCCCTGATCTCGCCAGAGATTTTTGAGAGGGCAATTGCTCTGTTTCATTTAAACCAGTTTTAACAAAAGTTAAAGGTTTTATGATATAGTTCAAAATAGGCAAATTCTGACAAAGATTTCTCAATGGAACTAGGAACTCATATTCTGCCTCGGTTCCTTAGTGATAAAAATCAAGATTCCTTTTTGTCAAGAAATGCAAACTACAGTGACAATTCTTAACACATTTTCTCATTACAACTAAATAGACTGAGTTAATAAACTGCAAAAATTGCAATAAAATTGTAGGTAGGCCTATTAGATGATATTGTCTTTGAAATGCTTAGATATTTTCACTAAAAAGGCTTTATGAACTGCATCTAATTTAAATGTAGTCTTTCAAAAACTATACAAACATTTAGGGTTTACCCTAAATCTATTGAAGTAACATTATGTTTAACGAGTACATAGGTTTGCTGCTGTAGTAAGGGTAATAAAGTGTGTTTTTAATAAAATATTTATTATAAGCTTAGTGTGGCCTAAATAAATTGTCAAGTTTGATTAAACTATATCCATAAACAAGCAAACTACAACCCTTTACTTAATGGGAATTTTAAATTTACAATTATATCCTGTAACCTAACCAATAACCGTTCAATGGATGCAACATTTACTTACGGTTATTGACACGATCGTGAGTGCCGATTGTGGTATCGCCGAGACCGCATAATATGCTCATGAATGTTTTCGCAATAACGAATGATGATCACGTTATCACAGACCGCAACATTTACTTACATGTTAATGACATTAACATTATTACCCAGACAGCAACAGTTACTTACGGGTGTTGCCGCGACCTGGAGTGACGACGTTATCGCCCAGTTGCCGGGATCGATAATGACGATCTAATTTTCATCGAGACCTCAAAATTTATCCAAGGGCATTGTAACCTTAGTATTTTTTTTGAGTCCCGACTGTGAGTGACGATCACAATTTTTACAGAGACAGAACCATTTACTTATGGGCGATGTGGCAATTTTGACAATCATCAATTCATACCAATTATATCAAAATAATTATTTTCCAGTTGGCCTTTGTGGAGTATTTAGGAGTAGATCTAAACATATTGGCATTTGCTGATGACAGTTGAAAACTTGGCAAGTTTGGCAGAAGTACTTTTCACCTTAGCAAACAAAATAGGATTGCAAGTAAATGTAGAAAAAATTAAAATCATTAACTTGGAAGACAAGCAAACAATAGAAACAAAAACATACAGATAAAGAACTTAACTATAAATTGTACAGAAAGTTTCAAATATTTTTAGGAGTAACTAAATAGTAGAAACTAAGAAGACGAAGATATACTACAGAACAGTTAACTAAGTTACCAAATGCCAATAAGTGTTGGGGAGCATGCAAGTTGAACTCATCTAAAAAAGAAAATTATTTGAACCCGTGCAGGAGGGAGAGATGTGGAGAATAAGGAAAAATAGGAGCTAAGATATGTGGTTATATTTTCATACACCGACCCAGATATTGTTGCAATAGTTAAAGGAAGAAGGTTAAGTTGGATAGGGCATGTGCTAAGAAGAGAGAAAGGAACAACAGGGTGTTCACATTCTGTAAAGTCATGGAAATCCCCAATTATGGATGGATTTGAGGGCAGTGGCGGATCCACTGGGGGGGGGGGGGGGGGCAAAGGAGGTGACCCTCGGGCATATATATATATATACAGGGTGAGTTTTAAATGAGTTCCCCCCTACTTTTTTCTACATTTATTAAGATATCAACTCCGGACCACGTCAGGTCATTGTAGATTTTTTTTAAAAGGATTGCAGCATCGTATTCAGCCTAAAAATCTTGTTTGAAACAATGGGTCACAACCCTACCGTTACATTTGAAAAAAAAATGTTGTATCCAAAATGGCGGACTTAAGATGGCGACCAAAAATGTATCCCCAGTCAAAATGAAGTACTTACTACTCTACAATGACCTGACGTGGTCCAGAGTTGATATATTAATAAATGTAGAAAAAAGTAGGGGGGGGGGAACTCATTTAAAACTCCCCTGTATATTTTTTACTGCATGTAATACAGTAGTGCATACGCATTGCGTATAATAATTTGTCACACTAACTTTGAACAAAGAAATGGTATAAAACTGCCATTTTGGAGACTTAGTTTACACCAACTTTTCCCGAACCCCCAGAACTTCCGGTTTGCCCCCTTTTGTTCTAGCTCCGCCACTGTTTGAGGGGACCTTACATTGCTCTAGGTAGGCCGTAACTCCGACTATTGTAGTAGCATTTTCCAGGATTTTTTCACAAAAAGTATGACAATTCAATTTATTACAGTCTTATTAGTTTATCAGTTTTGAGTTTTTATTTAGTTCATTGTCGTAGGTTCATTTTTGTAGAAAACAAATATTTCAGTATTTTCTGTGGCAGTGTTCAGTATTTTGTCCAGGCAGTATTTATTATCCGTGTGTGTTGTTATATTATAATTTTAGAGTAAAGTTTGTGAGTCATGGAATTTAATGGTAAATGGTCATGGAAATTAATGACAATTTTTCTGTGGTCACCCTGAACAAGACTGTATAAAGTTTGGAAAGCCACACCAGGGGCCCATTTCATAATAAACTACAAACTAATATTATTAGTAAATCAGCTGATCGCCCAATGCAAATCTAATGGAAACTACAAGTTACAAGCTGTAACTTGTAACTTGTAGTTTATTATGAAATGGGCCCCTGGAGGTAAACGTCCATTGGGAAGGACGACATCAGGACAATGGTTGCAAATATCAACTTTACAGAAGACAGAGAAGGGTGGAAGAGGCTGGTAACGAGGCGAAGAATCAACTGAGATTTGTGGAGCCACGCAGTAAGTAAGTAAGGCCTTTGTGGAACGGATAAAATCTGTTCACAGGCCATAGAGGCCTAAGCAGCTGTTCTGAACCTGAGGGGTGTGCCCCCCAGGGGAGCATGGAGCATGAGCGATAAACAAAAATAAAATACGCCAAACTACAGGATACTGTATATAAATAATCCTGTCTCATAACAGAAAGGTTGCTTGTATTTTTAATTTTCACAGTAAGTTCTGTAGGTACTGTATTATGATACATTTTGAAAGCATCAATAATTAATATTACCAAAGGTATTAAAATAGAATTTTTATTGATTCTTGCAAGCTACGACTTACTATTGATTTTTTTCTTAATTTATTCTACTGAAAGTATTTAACTGTACCGTGTTTTGGGTTTATTTGTGAATTGTCTATCCTTGACTGTCCAGGCATAACCTACTGGTTGCCCATTCTTGTTAGGTGTATGTCCACCATAAGTTAGTTATATCAGAAATTGAATTTTGTATTTATTCCCAATGTGTAAACAACACTAAATATCAGGATACTGTAGTGAAATAAATTCAAAATACCTTTTTGGGAGAGAGGATGATTAGAAGACAAGAGGCAAAGATGCAGCCTAAGCTATGGAGCATACATCTATACAATATCAATACATCAATCATCATAAGTACTTGAAGATTGTTGTTTGCTGGTTTATAGGCGAATTTTGATCAAACTTGTCATATTTTTTAGTTTATACTCGGCTCTTAGGCTAACTCTTATTAAAAACACCTAATTATAGATAGTGATGGTCGGATCTGGATATCGGACTACCGGATCTGAGCTAGAACCGATGCCCGATCGGATCCTTTGATGGATCCGTTTTTTTTTTTTACACAAAACGTTCTTTATAAAATACAATTCATTCATAAGAACATGTGTTTCATCATAGTAATGCATTTTAAAATATCATAAATAGTAAAAAAAATTAAAACCAACTTCAAATACAAGAATATTTGTGTTCATAATATACAAGACTATCTGTGTCCATATATTTAAAAGTATACAAGACTGTCTGTGCCCATACAGGGTGAATAAAAAGTCAAGACCCCCCCCCCCCCATCTAATATTTTTCTGAGTAAATATACAGATAACCTTTTGGTGTTTGTGCAAACTTAGCAAGAAGTTTCATTTTGAAATAAGAAGATTATGATAAGAAAAAAATCAATATAATGGTAACTTGTAAACACTCGAAATAGGCCTACATACAACCAGACCAAAACTTCTCTCATCAGCTGATCGGGTGTTTAGGTCAACGCCAACAACAACATGCAACAGGAGTATAAGCTGTAAATAATTTTGATAGTTATTTCCACGCTGGTTTTAACGTCTGTTGATCACGTTCTATATTATCTGCCATTTTTGAAAGAAACGTCTGTTGATCCATTTTTGAAAGAACCGTTGGGTCTATAAGTGCTAGCTGGGGCTCAAATTGGAGCTAATTAAATTATCTTTCATTTACTCCTGTATATATTTTCTCGTGGATGTGTATTTTTAACAATATGGTTCAAAATAATTGACCATGAAGAAACTTTTTAATTTTTTGAAAAATTTCTATAGTTTTTAAAGTATTGCATATTTACTAATAATAGACGTACTGGAGTCGTTATAGTCTCAAAATGTAGCGAGTTTTATCCAGTCTAAGAAAGAATAAGGCAACACTTTCTGTCAGAGGCTTACTTTAGGAGATATTTAGCAAAAAGTAAAAAAAGTGTACAATTTTTACGGTTTTTTGGCTACTAGGTAGC